TTTTCTAGACTAAAAAAGCAATTGTTTTGTCAAAGTAAAATCAATCATCGGTTTTAACTTGGAGCCATCAGTGTAATCAATCATTTAGGGTAAATTATGACTGTCCTCCATCTTGCAGGAGCAGAGCTCATTTGTTTGTACCCTGAAGACCATCTTCAGCTTGGATGTGTTTGATTAGATGATTTATATTGCACATTCACTCTGTGGCAATTACTCAGGTGTGCTCACACATGTCTTTCTATAGGTTTAGTGGGTCTGAGTGGCAGTCTCTCTGTGTCTGATAAACAGCCTCTTCTCCCTTTGATCCCACAGACACCGCTGCACATGCATACAGGGAGATTAATCAAATTGAAAGAAATGACACAGCCTCTGATCTTGTCCCAACCCACATTTTGTTTGTTTGTTTGTTTGTTTCGAATCAGTTGGCTGAAAGATAACATAGCAAAGCCCAAAAGAACAGTTATTCAATAAACAGTTACGGCATCATAAAAATATAATGTCAAATGCATTTAAATACCATTTATTTTGTGATGTATGCACATTATACGCACTTAAAATATTACATTAAATATGATGTGAGGCATAATTCACAATTAATTATGTTTATGTTTATTCATTTAGGAGACGCTTTTATCCAAAGCGACTTACAATTTATAACCTATAGGGCATGTTGTGATCTGTGGGGGAAACCGGAGTACCCGGAGGAAACCCACACATGCATGGGGAGAACACACAACTCCACGCAGAAAGGCCGCAGCCGAGCCTCGAACCTGCAACCTTTGTGCTGCGAGGCAACAGTGCTAACCACTGCGCCACCATGCAGCCCATGAAACAAATATTGAAGCATTCCCTTCACCTTCCCTCTGAGTGACTATGTGGTACTTTAAATAACTTTGTTTCACTAAAACAAAACAAAAATTGGTAACAATTAACAATAAGGGTCCCTTTATTAACATTACTTGATGCATTATTAAGCACTAGTAAATAAAGTATTAACAACTGCTTAATATTTATGCATCATTAAGCAGAAATCCACCCCTAGCCCTTTGTCCTAACCTTAAGGACACTAGTTTAGTTATCAGTAATGTTAATAAACTGATTATTTGTTATTAATGCTTAATAATGCACTAAGTAGTGGTAATAAAGAGACCCTCATTATAAAGTGTTAATACATTTTCTGTTAGAAAAAATGTTTTCTGACATGAAATCACAGCTCCAGTTCAGAAATGTGTGATGATCTTGGACAAACTAATATGTAGCAATAATATGACTTGATTCACCGAACAGGGAGAGAGAGAGAGGGAGAAGGGGGGAGGGAGACTCTCAAATTGGCTAGAGGAGGAACCATTTTTGACACACCAGTCTGACTCAGATGCTCACTATATGGTGCGCTGTGTTTTTCATTCATGACTCAGACTCTGTTTTTATTGCACACAGGCAGAACTTGTACATCTCTCTCTCTGTGCTTTCCATTAGCGAGCAGGGAGCTGCACCTCAGAGTCCCACCTTTAACATTTATCAGCATTACGACTTACGGTACTTACTTTTAACGAAAACTGTTCTGAATGTTTGTGCTTCCGTTTAAAATCATTTGTGTCCTCAGTGTGTTTAATCAAACTAGGGAAACTATGTGGTTTTGGCTTGCTTTTAGAGTCTGTTATTAATTCACTGTTATAAAACTAAAAGTGAAACGTATCTCTTTGCTGTGCGTTCATCTTTTTAACACCTTCATCTAACTATGGAAATGTCTCCTCAGCCTTCATTAGTTTCAAAAGGAGTGATTAATCGCCAAATCAATCAAATCAGCAGTGTGCATAATCCAAAACATGCAGGAAATGTGGTGGAAGCAGACTCCAGCGCTAGTACTTGTCAGCTCCACTTGACTAAAACTAGCAATGAGCAGCCCGCTACTCCGAAGTCGCAAGTGCGATATTTTGGCAATAGAGAACGGTGGAGGTCTGAGTGGCATTTTATTAACCCTGTATAGGTTCATTTTAGCACATGCTAGCTCAGGAAAATGATTTAAAAATATGAAAAAGCTATATAGTTTACCTTTAACCCTTTATAGGGCACTCATTTAAGTATTTTAATATTTTTTATTTCAACCCCAGAGTGTTATTGTAGTTCATGACCAAAGTATATTTCTGTTGTTACAATTTTGAAAAATATTTATTTTCATGCAGAAAATCTGAGAAAATGAAGTGATCAAATATGGACGTTGGCCCCTGTTCTGGTAAAGAAATCCCTAAGCATGATCTAGAATAATCTAGCTAATTTTAGAACATTATATCACTGTTCAAAAATACTAAATATATCACAGTTATTAAACAATAAAATATGTTTTTTATAAAAACAGATTATTGTGGAATATGAATAAAAAAATTGAACAATAGATACTATTTCTGATCAAATACAGATTATTGGAATATTTTATATTTGAGGTTCTGCCTCAATGTCATCTTCGTCATCGTCACTGATGGCAAGATTGGTTGGCGCAATAACTGTCCTTCTCAATTTCCCAGAGAAATCTTTGTTTAAACCTGCAGAATATATTTAACATCATAATTGTTATTATTGTTACCATGAAAATTAAGATAATGTCTAAAAAAACAACATATTTTACCTAAAAACATTCATAATTTCCTTTAGTTGTTCAGGGCGTATGTTCAAGTATGGCAGATTTGATTTCACCAACTTCATAGAGTTCAACATTTACAACACATATATCCTTATTTAGCACAACTAGTCAAGCTTGTGATGTGAGTGTTAACCAAGCGTTGTTGGTTTTAGAGATCTGACCGTAAACACGAGAGGACACCAAGGATTTTTCTGGCTCTGCAGACACACTAATATTTGGTGCCTTATAGCCCCGCCCTGATTGGTGGTATGGTACTGTGGCACAAACCATGACTAGCCTGATCTCTGATGTTTGTTGGGTGAAATCTCGTAATTCTAAGAGTTTGTGAGAAAGCACACCAACATCATTTATGATGTGAGTGGAAGTGTCTAAATATTGACGTTGGCCCTATAAAGGTTTAAATCCCCCACCCCTGAAATTTAGAGTTAAAAGTAAAAAGTGGAAATATTTTCAATGTCATTTTAGAAATAAATTAAGCTTTTACTCCTGAAATAAGTCAAATTCTCATTCAGTCAAGATCTGATTGAGTTTTCTGTGACATGATTTGCACCCGTTGTCACAAACACACCCATATCCGGCCTAAAAATGACATAAAACAAATGTTTTGCGTCAGAACACGAAGTGTTTGTTTTTCCTGTACAAAAACTCATTTCATATCGAGAATGCTCACAGAAACGTTTGGTGGACCAGCTCGACGTTTGTCGCACAGCGGAAAGTTCGGCGGCTGAACAAATGCAATTAGATCCGGCTGCTGGCTAATTTCTGCCTCCTTTTGTCATTACAAGAGAGTGAAACTCTAAAAGGTCAGGGCTTTAAATGAGACCAGATGTACTTTTCACATGCGTGTGTGTGGGGATGTGTGATAAGTCACCTGCTGAGAAAGGCCAGGTGATGGCATGTGAGAAGGGTTCAAAGCAGAGGATGAAGTTGGTGAAACCTGCAATGGATGTGTGTGTATATGGAATCCAGTCATACAAAGATTGGAAAGATCTTTTTATTTTGTGTGTGTGTGTGTGTGCGTGCGTGCGTGCGTGTGTGTTTAATGTCTGAGAGGAGAATATGCCACCTAACCTCTGACAGCACAGAGATACTCATTACTTAGGTGACTGCTAATCCATATGTTTGGGCTGCGAACGGTTCCCCATCACTCAATTGAGTTTCTCCTTCGAGCTTTGCTTCAGCCTCTCAGTGGAAGTTTCCTCTGGGGGAGGTAAAATGTGAGGGGAAGAATTTAAGCACATTTTGTTTGTCAATTTGTCCCAGCTCCTCGAGACGGCCAAAGTGCTTCCAAATGTCATCTCGGCACTGTAGCATCAATATGATTAGCTTAGCTCAGCACACGCCTTATCCAGATCAATGACACTAAGTTCTGGTCCCTGCAGCTGTGACATAAAGGGTTTCTGCTTTTGTTTCAGTGTCTGTTTATAAATTAATCTTTTTTTGCACGCTTCCTTTTATCAGCCATGCTACTAGTCAGAGGACCTTTAACAGACTGAAAATTGGTTCAGTTTCTTATTAAAACATGGCCAGCAGGATGAAAATGAAGCATTTCATAACGAGATTTCAGTGTTGAAAACATCCACAGAGAATTAGCTGAGCAAAGAGGAAAGGCTAATCAAGCGGTTTTGCCAAGTGTTCGGATGATAATGATGCGACTCGTGGCCTCTGTGAACTCTGACATCTTGTGGATGACTCTTAGTGTTTTGATACGAAATAAAGAAAATTGGTGAGGAGAGGGACGCGTGAAACCACCAGCAATCCTTTCGGTTTCATTCTACGTGAGGAAAGCAGAAAATATGAGGGAAAATACTTATCATGTCAGGGATTCACATGGTAAAGCACAGCCACTTTAGCTTCAGTCACTGTGCAGTTTGCTTTGTGCACATATGGAGCCAGGTGGTCCAACCTGCTGTCCCGTCACAACGGGCCAGTTCAGGCGTTTAGACACATCCCCTTCCATAAAGCAGCAGCCTAGTCATCACTGATGCACTATAGGAGCATACATGACAAAAGGCTGCAAACCACCGGACAATTACCTGATTAAAAATTATCACAAGAGGCGCCTTTAATGCTCATTTGAAGTCTGCTTCAAATGTAGATGCACGTGGCTGCACATGCAAAAGGCCTGAATCACCCGTGTGCAGGTTTTTTTTTTCTGTGATGCAGGAGCTGACTCGGAGCCTTCAGGTTTTAATTAGACAACGTCTTTGATGTGACCTCTTTAATGTTCCCTCCTTGTTAATCAGTGTGATCCTACAAGCCTCTCGCTAGTCTCGTATCGGATGTTAGCAGCAGCTCGTCCCTGACAGTGCACTCTCCCTCTCTCTCTCTCTCTCTCTTCCTCCCTGTCCTGCTTTTCCAGGTGAAGTGTGACCAGTACTGGCCATCAAGAGGAACGGAGACCTACGGGATGATCCAGGTCACCATGTTAGACACGGTGGAGTTGGCCACTTACAGCGTCCGCACATTCGCCCTCTATAAGGTAAAGAGTTTTATTTACAGCATAAAGATGCAGACCAGTAACTTTTATGTTCCTCGCTGCAGCAATACATCATGGTTTAAACTGCTTTCTCTCATTTATTCATGATAAATGAACAATTTGACATTCTTCTGACTGATGTCATTGTTTTTGTTTTCCATGATTCATCTTTTGTTCTCTAACTTAAAGTACCATAATTTTTGTTCCAATTATATAAAAAAATTTACTGCTGAAATGTTTGTTTGTTTTGACTCCAAGGAAGTGATCTGCTCATTTCAATCAAGAATAATTTATGTGCAGTCAATAAAAAAAACTTTCCAAGATTATTCTGAACGTGATTGTCATTATCATCTGTAAGATTATTAGTCCTAAAAGTAGAAATCATTCATGTTTACAATTAAAGTTGAAAATGTACCAACTTTTGTTTGAAATAACTTAAGTTTCTAACAAATAATTTAAAGGTGTGGTTGACTGAAAACTCTTGAGTTTTTCATGCAGGCTGAACATGAAAATAGTCTCCTACACCTATCTCCTTCATTAGCTTCTGGTAGCTAGCGTAGAAAATCCTCACAGATCTACGTCACATTGCAAATTAGCGTTCATGGACTCACCCATCTTGACTCACGATGTAGAAGGTTGTTGTTTGTTTAACATCCAGTAATCAGCAGAGGACGTCCCAGCTAGTTTAAGCTAACCGTTAGCATTAGCAACACAACCACATGGCAGAAGCTCCTCCAGGCTTGTGGTATTTGTGGAAATTGGTCCTGTTATAAGTCTGGTAGAGCCACAATGTCCAAACATCAGGAAACCTGCCGTTTAGTGCTCAGTGATGATGTGGGCAACTTATAGGTCAGAGAAATGGTGCACCAGTATACTTTTTCCCCCGAGAACGACTTACAACTACAAATGTTTTGATTAAACAAGTGTTCAACTCCTTTAATCCAGTTGTATTAATATGGAACTACTTTTAAGATCAAGTCCTGCCAGAGAACTTTGTGTTGGGAAAACAGATAAAACAGTTCTTGGAAGGATGGTTGGGCTAGTAATTGCACGCCACAGTGGAACAAGCGATAGCTTCATGAAGCTACAGAAAAAGCTCAAACTACAGGAGAGAGAGACAAAAGGAATGTGCTGCACAGTTTCAATCTTTTGAAAGTCTGACTGTTCAGTTTCACCTCAAAACATGTTTGACCTTTATCTGTTTAAGAAAATGTTGCTTAGCATGAAAATTGTCAGTTTGAAGAGCAGTAAATTACATTTTGCTATGTCATACCATCCTGCTGAGGATTGTACTGACTCACCGTTTTCCTGCAGAATGGCTCCAGCGAGAAGAGGGAGGTGAGACAGTTCCAGTTCATGGCCTGGCCCGACCACGGGGTGCCTGAGTATCCCACACCCATCCTGGCCTTCCTGAGACGGGTGAAGGCCTGCAACCCTCCAGACGCCGGCCCCATGGTGGTCCACTGCAGGTGTGTACACTAAGCAAGCAGCTCAGTTGCTCAACCGGCAGTTTATTGCAAAGGAATATGATAATTTAGCATTAAATAATTGTGTTAGGTTTCTACTTAATAATTATTGAGTAAATTATAAGTGAGTGAGTTTAAAATGACAAAGCTGTTTTGGTCAAATCTTGAGAATAACTAAAATTGTACAAGCTCTCATGCTAGCACTCAAGAGTGCTAGGCAAGTAGAAATAGGGGGTGTTTCTCAATGCCAAGGAGCCGCGCCTTGATGTCTTGGCCCCGCCCCGGTTGTCTAGGAGATATGTCATCAGGAACCGCCAAGATGTGTTCCAATGTTCATGTTCTACCGAGGCGTGTGTTCTCCGTTTGTTAGCCGTTTAGCTAGCTGAGCAAGGATACATGGGAGATGTCTTGTAGCCTAGCCTTGGTCAAAAATTACCCAGAATACAGCGCAGTATTTTCAAAAGGACGGCGGATCAGAAGCCGGCAGCTACTTCGGGGACAATTTTCAAGTTTAAATGTAAGTCAACTAATTTAAAATGTTTTTTTTTAATCCAAATAAGTTATCTATTGTTGGTTAGTTGCTTAGTAGTTGCAGCTTCAATGGCCAGCAGGTAAATCACTTACATATTTAATTTAACAAATATATGCACAGTTTATAAAGTACAAGTCTTGTTATATATTTATATTTAAACTTACACGTATAAAATATAACGTTATCTCCCATGTCACATGACGTTATGTGACCGCCGTGGAAGCCGCGGTCACGTGATGCAAGTCTGTTCCATTTATTTGTTTTCTCTGACCAAGGAAGGACAGTGTCCTCGTAAGCAAGGCGCCTGGCCTTGCAAGACATCGCCTCGCAAGGCCAGGCGCCTTGACGTTGAGAAACACCCAGGGTTTTGATAGGGTTATAGTTATTGGTTAGCTGGGATGGCCATCTTGAATTAAGTCAACTCCAAAGGCTTGTGGGTTATAAATGAAGTAAAATACTTCTAAGAGTTTATTCAAATCTGTTCTGTGGTCCTAGAGACCTTCCATCAGGAGGGCAGACCGGGTTGGCAAACAGTCAACGCCAAACTTTTATTCAAAGATTTTTACTGGTTGTGGGGCGGTGGCTCCTAACCATGACACCAGGTTTTAGCTCAATATTTGTAACGGTTGATATTTAGCTTTTTTGAATTGAATTGAATTGAAAGACATCTAACGCTACGAGGATGCTTTTCAAGTATTGATTTGAACAGCTCTATGACCACATTGTAGTGAAAACAGTGACTTTCTCTCCTCTCCATCAGCGCGGGCGTGGGCAGGACTGGCTGCTTCATTGTGATCGATGCCATGCTGGAGCGCATGAAGCATGAGAAGACCGTGGACATTTATGGCCACGTGACGTGCATGCGTGCCCAAAGGAACTACATGGTCCAGACCGAGGATCAGTACATCTTCATCCACGAGGCACTCCTGGAGGCCGCCACCTGCGGCAACACCGAGGTGCCGGCACGCAACCTGTTCGCCCACATCCAGAAACTCGCCCAGCCGCCGCCTGGTGAGACGGTCACCTCCATGGAGCTGGAGTTCAAGGTGACACAATAAAACCAATCAGAGCTGTTATCTTTATCATTACTTCATGTCCTATTAGGAAAAAAGGGGTTTTTGCACAATCATGCAGACAAAGGTTGTCAGGGTGATGCAAGTCTGTCTCTAAAATCAGCTGATGCTCAGGAATTTATCTCGGTGACACTGGTGCTGAGGCATCACAGCAGCACACACACACGGTTGGTGTTCAAGGTCGCCGTCACACGTGCACACACCCTTTCTGTCAATAACCATTGACTGTGATGTTATTACACACTTTCCTCTGAGCGCTTCTCTGCCATTAGCCCTCTTATGACCATGATCCATTCTGTTTGAAGTGATAATAGCATCTACACTCCTGCCAACAACTGAGAATGAAAGAGTGAGAGAATGATTGTGGCGTACGTGCAGGCCACAGCCTGCATCCCCACGCAGTCTGGCCACAACACACATGCACACACACACACACACACACACACACACACACACACACAAATTCTCCTGTAGTACCGTGACTGTCTGTACACACTCCTGTACTGTCCATCTGTTCTCTGTCCAGTGCCAGCTCCAGACTGGATGCCTGCAGTCCTCCAAGCAAACCTTGAGACTTAGAGGGAGAAACCCCTCTTTCTTTAAACTTTAACACCTTTCTTAAGTTTGAGTTTCATACAAGTCATGACAGGAACCCTTAAATCGGGATCGAGACTTGTCAGAGAACAGATTCAGGCTTCCTTGTTTGTTTACTTGAGGCTGCTCTTTTTGTTTTTCTTCTCTGTATCTCTTCCCCTGTCTGACTTCTTCCCATTTTTTTAACAGAGACTGGCCAACTCCAAAGCCCACACATCACGGTTCATCAGCGCCAACTTGCCCTGCAACAAGTTCAAGAACCGCCTGGTCAACATCATGCCTTTTGAGTCCACTCGCGTCTGCTTGCAGCCAATCCGCGGCGTTGAGGGCTCTGACTACATCAACGCCAGCTGCATCGATGGCTACAGGTCAGCAAAGGCCGTCATCTTTTAGATCCAGTCAGAAATCCACGGCTGTGGGGATAGAAGGCAATGTTTCATGGCAAAAAAAACAAACACGAAAAATGAATTTAACTGCTTATTTAACTATGATGTGCATCATAATGAAAAATGCTAAAAAAAAATCTGCAGGTTTTAAAACTTTGAGGCATCTTTCAGCTCATATCCTACAGAAGAGTCCTACCACTGCTGCTGTTGGTATTAGACGGTTTTCTAATCCTCAGCGTGGCCTCAGGGATCGGTTCAAACTCGCATGGAGTGTGAGGCTTTCGCGGTAGTGAAATGACTGGTTCAACGAAAGTGTGATGTGTTTAAATCAGGTTTAGAGCAGCAAAAGGCTCCAACCTGTGACTAATTTTGTTCTTTTGGTTTGTTTGCATCAAGAAAATACAGGACGTACCCTTATTTGTTACAGTTAGCAAACAAGATGCTACATAAACTGATTTCTGCTGCTCAGACCTGAAAGTTTCCGTCGATGACTCAACGTCAGGCAGACATCGACTCAGATCTGCTTTCCAACAGGATGACTAAAGTTCGTAACCTTTCTTAATATTTTCCTGGAAACCCTGACCCACATCATCGCGTTTTCTTGCACACATGCACACGCACACACACGCTGAGTGAATCAGTAGGAAGATTTTATTGGCATTTCTTTCCAGAGAAAAACGCTAATACTTTCATTAAAAATAACACCTTGCCTGGTCTTTCATAGCTGTCTGGGGAGAAAATGTCAGCCGTGATGCTTGTGGCAGCCAGGGAGTGAGTCTATTGTGTGTGTGAGGCTCTGACAGGAGCGTGGAGATAAATTTGTGTGACGTTCAAGAATATTTTACGTGCATTCTATAAGGAATATTTGATGAATGTATGCTAGCATCAAAAATATGAGTCTCCTTGCTGAATCTGGTTTGTATGCTGAGGGAGTCCACATATCAATGTATAAATACACATGTGCAGTGCGTCTGTACTGTGACTTCTCATTTTGACAACCTTGCCTGAGCGACGCCCTCGTGCACCCGCCGTGATCTCTGACAGCCGCCGGGTTGGGAGGAGCTGCTTTAGTCACGTTTATGTTAACATTTCTAATTGGGCTCTGCCTCCAAATCTGCAAGGCTTTGCATAAAAGACTTTTCAGTTCACTATGGTTCATCTGAAGTGGATGTAAACATCCTTCAATTAAGTCTGAGAGTCTGCCCTCTAACTTGGCAGTCACTGATTAATTTAAAATCCAACGTCCTGAGGCACAAATTGAATGCAGCTGGAACGTTTTTGTTTTTCTTTGGCATAAAAGATGATCTCAGGTGTGAAGAATGTACTAAATAATCACAGTGGACTAGATGAAGCTGCAGGGGGAGAGGATTAAAGATGAGGCTGCAGTGGGCAGTATCCTGTTGCAGGAATTACTCCCAGCTCTGTCAGTGTGGCTTTCGTCGGCTGAGCCACTGCCGCGTTTATATTTGAAGGGACTGCATGTCCCCGTGTGCTCTGAGAGTCCAAATTGCTTCCTAGAGGGAAGAAGATGAAAAGGCGGTTCTCTGTTTTATATCTCTATAAGTGTAGGGAGTGACAGACAGAGCTGACTCTTCTGTGGTTAGAGTGAAGGGATGGGTTTAGTGAGCGTGAAATGCCGTTTAATCCATATGGGGTTCTGCTTCGTATTGGGCCATGACAGAGATGACACCTCCACTCCCGCCTCCTCCGGTTCTGCTGTTGATGAGAAGGTGCTCTGCAGAGACCCACCCTCCTTTGTTGCTGAGTAAATAGTGTAATTGCAACAAGCGTGTTGTAATGAAGTGTTTTCTAGCCCTTCCTCTCATCCCCTTCCCCTCCCTCCCCTTGCTCTCACTCTTCGTCCTAATTTCCCGTCCAAACATCACAGCAGAGACGAGCCATCCGGGTGGGGACCTGTTGTGTGCACCAGCAGCACTGTGTAATTAAGCCGCTTTTAAATCGGCGGCATAAATAAAACCCAAACAGAAGCCTCCAGTGCCCTCCACCCCAGCGCCTTTAAGAAAAGCCAATGATATGCTAAGCTAATAAGAGGCAAAGCATTGATTCCAGCGCCGCTGTAAGGGCTAGAGCTCTGGATATGCTCCGGTGCAGGATGGAGTTTTAGCATTGTGGTGAGGTTGAAATGAAACACCATGTCCTCGAGCGCTGCAGTCATGTGGGATGAGGCGGGAAGCGTCGCTCTGTGCCGTTTGGCACCTCGCTCGTCGGGACACTGCGTGCACAGATCTCAGTTCTCTTTGATACAGTTGAAATAGTTTTTTGTTCTGACTTGGGGGACGTTTTAGTAGGAGTCGCCCCATCAGTATTTTTGTTTCTTCATCTTTTACCATTACCCTCCTCTCCCTTCGTCCTTCATCCGTCTGACGGCCAGCTTGAAGGAGCTCGGCTCACTCTTCTCACCCTCGGTGCTTTGTAGATCTCTGCAGTTTGCTTTCTTTTCCTAAAATTTGCTTCCTCACCCTCGTGCCTCCCCCGCCCCCTCTGCTTATGAAATCTCCTCTTCACCATGCTGTTGTTTTTGTATTCGTATGAGTGAGGCCCAGAGCATATTCTAATCTCCCGGTTCCATATTAGTGCTTCGCCTGCAGCACCTTCATTAGTCGTTCATCCTGGGCCCGGTGTGTGACTGACTGTGCGTGTGTGCAACAGCAGATGTCAATGCACATGCAGAACCGCTGCTCGTATAAATGTCTACACCTGCATGCAAGTTTCTGTGTGCTGCAAACATGTGAGTGTGTGTCTGCTGTACCATTATGGATGCGTTGCTGCGTTGGACCGGACCACTCAATTCCCTCTGTGGTGATCAGAGCGCTTCTGCCACCTGCTGTTTGATAGGAGAATTGCTCAGCCTCACCAAAGTCACGTAGGACACCAGCATTGCTCCAGCATCTGGGTGGATGAGCTCATCCCCAGTTTTGTGAGCGTATCAAGTGCTCTCCCTCTCTGATTCTGTATTGTGTTACTGGAAGGAAGGAAAAATAAGAAAAAAATCTTCAAATGGCCAAGAAGGAAGACGGCTACCATGAATTATTTACTGTGTGTATTAGACGCACAGGTCCTCATCATCAGCACCATTTCATATACAGACATTTGTATTTAACAAACACAAAACTTTGGGGGGTTTAAATCCTTCCAAATACTAGATAACTTTTTATTACATTACAAAAGGCGTTAGTTATTCTCACATTTGATGTTTGTTTTAATGTAGATATGAATTAAAGCTTAACCTTGATTGTTCAAGTCAGCTATTGAAATACAGGGAGTGCAGAATTATTAGGCAAGTTGTATTTTTGAGGAATAATTTTATTATTGGACAACAACCATGTTCTCAATGAACCCAAAAAACTCATTAATATCAAAGCTGAATGTTTTTAGAAGTAGTTTTTAGTTTTAGCTATTTTAGGGGGATATCTGTGTGTGCAGGTGACTATTACTGTGCATAATTATTAGGCAACGTAACAAAAAACAAATATATACCCATTTCAATTATTTATTTTTACCAGTGAAACCAATATAACATCTCCACATTCACAAATATACATTTCTGACATTCAAAAACAATACAAAAACAAATCAGCGACCAATATAGCCACCTTTCTTTGCAAGGACACTGAAAAGCCTGCCATCCATGGATTCTGTCGTGTTTTGATCTGTTCACCATCAACATTGCGTGCAGCAGCAACCACAGCCTCCCAGACACTGTTCAGAGAGGTGTACCGTTTTCCCTCCTTGTAAATCTCACATTTGATGATGGACCACAGGTTCTCAATGGGGTTCAGATCAGGTGAACAAGGAGGCCATGTCATTAGTTTTTCTTCTTCTATACCCTTTCTTGCCAGCCACGCTGTGGAGTACTTGGACACGTGTGATGGAGCATTGTCCTGCATGAAAATCATGTTTTTCTTGAAGGATGCAGACTTCTTCCTGTACCACTGCTTGAAGAAGGTGTCTTCCAGAAACTGGCAGTAGGACTGGGAGTTGAGCTTGACTCCATCCTCAACCCAAAAAGGCCCCACAAGCTCATCTTTGATGATACCAGCCCAAACCAGTACTCCACCTCCACCTTGCTGGTGTCTGAGTCAGACTGGAGCTCTCTGCCCTTTACCAATCCAGCCACGGGCCCATCCATGTGGCCCATCAAGACTCACTCTCATTTCATCAGTCCATAAAACCTTAGAAAAATCAGTCTTGAGATATTTCTTGGCCCAGTCTTGACATTTCAGCTTGTGTGTCTTGTTCAGTGGTGGTCGTCTTTCAGCCTTTCTTACCTTGGCCATGTCTCTGAGTATTGCACACCTTGTGCTTTTGGGCACTCCAGTGATGTTGCAGCTCTGAAATATGGCCAAACTGGTGGCAAGTGGCATCTTGGCAGCTGCACGCTTGACTTTTCTCAGTTCATGGGCAGTTATTTTGCGCCTTGGTTTTTCCACACGCTTCTTGCGGCCCTGTTGACTATTTTGAATGAAACGCTTGATTGTTCGATGATCACGCTTCAGAAGCTTTGCCATTTTAAGACTGCTGCATCCTTCTGCAAGATATCTCACTATTTTTGACCTTTCTGAGCCTGTCAAGTCCTTATTTTGACCCATTTTGCCAAAGGAAAGGAAGTTGCCTAACAATTATGCACACCTGATATAGGGTGTTGATGTCATTAGACCACACCCCTTCTCATTAGAGATGCACATCACCTAATATGCTTAATTGGTAGTAGGCTTTCGAGTCTATACAGCTTGGAGGAAGACAACATGCATGAAGAGGATGATGTGGACAAAATACTCATTTGTCTAATAATTCTGCACTCCCTGTAGATTTAGTCTGAATAAAAAAGCTAATAGATCTGCATTTTTATTAGAATTTATTTCAAGTCAAGTTATAGAATAAATTAAAAAATTCAAGAAATAAATTAAAGAAATTCAAATTTTTGGACACATACATGCTGGGATTGTATGATGTGTTGAAGCATGCTTAATGAAAAAAACTAGAAACAAAAAGATATATATATATTATAAAACAATTTAATAAATTATTGTTTTACATAATATAATAAACTTTTTGCTCCAAATTATTAAAATATGCAAATGAGAAAAATGTCATTCATTTTTTTTATTGTGTAGAAATTAAGATTTTAAAATCTATTAAAGAGCAAGTTCACTGAGAAACCATTTTTGTTTTTATTTTTATTTTTACACTGTTTTACTGGAAGGAACATGTCACTCTGTGTTTGACATGCAGGCTAAATGTGAAAAATAGACTTCTAGCCTATTTCTTTCATTAGCTTTCGATAGAAAATAATCGGGGAACTGCGAGGATTTGAGAAGCCTGATAGATCTACGTCACACTGTCACTTTACATTCATGGACTTATCCATGTTGACTCACAACGGGGAAGGTTGTTGTTGGTTTAGCGTCCAGGAAACAGCAGAGAATGCCTGGGCTAGTGAAAACTAACCATTAGCATTAGCAACTTCACCACATGGCAGAACTCCTTAAGGCTTGTGTTATTTGTGAAGTTGCAGAGAAAACAGAGCCAGTGGTAGAGTCGCGTTGCTGTTAGCCAATCAGAGATGAGACGTCAGGAAATGAGTACAAATCCTGTGATCTTCTACCTTGCCTGCTGGTGGTGGTCGGAGGGACTGGTGGCACCATCGTTCGGCATTCTTGCTTCCGTCAGTGTGCCCCAGTGCAGCTGTGGCTACATCGTAGCTCATCCCCACCAGCGTGTGAATGTGTGTGTGACTGATTGTGTTGTGAAGCACCTTGGGGGGGGGGGGGGGGGGGGGGGGTTTATAGAACCCTAATCTCTTCCGCTTCCGGTCGGCAACAAGATGGCGCCTGTGCTTGGCTTAGCCACAGTCACCGGCCACTTTTTCAGACTTTTCTCCACTAACCTCCTCTTTTCCACCTTGCTCCTGTCAGCGATCCTCTTCAGTAGTGTCCTTGCTACCATCTTCTATGATCGCCAGACTCTTTTGTCCTTCCGTTCGTTAACAATCGCCCAAGATGCACTGAGGATGTACCATCCTGTTTGTTTACCTGAGTGGCGCACTGGCCCGGAGCCAAACGGCGGTCCCAAGCTGCGCGCCTCCGGCTATGTTTATCCGGTCCCGGGAAAACATCGGAGGAAAAGAGGTTAACGAGCAGGAATCTAAGTGAGAATAAGACTTCTCTTAAAGCGTGGTTTATCTAGTAAACATCGGCGTGATCTTCTAGCTTCTCTTCCTTTGTTTGATGACCTGAGCGCCACTTCCGCATTCCCGCCAGGCCGCGTTGGGACGCGGTTCATCCGTCCAAGTTTTTTATGGTCGGTTTTTTCCTCATTCCTCAGTGGTTTCTCCTCCTGTTCCCTCCATAAGTGGATTTTATAAACACCGTGGATCGTACCCCGCTAATTTACGTCCACTAACTCCAGCTGTTTCTGTAGTTTCTGATTCCTCCACTGCACTCAGCATGGCTCTATTAAATACCCGCTCTGTTAACAATAAGTCCTTCCTGCTCAATGATCTAATTCTGTCTAAAAACCTGGATTTTCTGTTTCTGACTGAAGTTTGGCAGCAAACATCTGATTATTCTGGTCTGATTGAACTCTGCCCGAGTGGTTATTATTTTCTTAGCCAGTCCCAGGGTTCTGGTTGTAGTGGAGGCCTAGCTGTTGTTTTCAGAAACCAGACTCAGGTGATCTTCTTAGTCCCTTCACCCCCAGCAGGTCCCTGAGGTCCAGTGATCAAAGCCTACTGGTTGTGCAGCACCAGGCTAAAGACCACAGGTGACAGATCATTTGCTGCTGTGGCCCCCAGACTCTGGAACTCTCTCCCCCTGAGCCTGAGATCAGTGGACTCAGTGGACTCCTTTAAAAAACAGCTGAAGACTCACTTGCTCAAGTTGGTTTTTTTATGATCTTCTTCACCACTCTCTCTTTATTCTGCTCTCCCCACCTATTCCACCTTCCTCCGGATCCACTGATTTCCCTCTTTCCTATTCACTCTCTCTCTTTCTTAACATTTTTTAAATCACAATTGCCTATTTTTGCTCATTTTAAATATATTTTAAAATATTTTCTAAATGCTTTTTTATATTTTTACATTTTTTGTTTTTGTGAAGCGCCTCATGATTTTTATCTTGAGAGGCGTTATAGAAATGATATTTTCTTCTTCTTCTTCTAAGCTTATGGATTCACTGACCACTGCAAATGTGTTGGAAAAATACTAATGTATATGAGTTACGGAAAGGTACTTTGGTTTAGATAATCATACTGGTATCTATTACTATCTGTTAATATTATTTTTAATTTAATTTTTATGCAGTTAGTTATATTTATTTAGTTATCTTATTTTTCTTGTTTATTTTTATTTTTTAGCCACTTGCTGTCTTTCAAATTCGTTCGTGTTGTATAGAACGAAGACCCTCTTGAAAATTAGATGTTGCATCTCAAAAGATTTTATCCTCTGAAAATATATGTATATAAATAAATAAATAAATAAAAACAAGTGAACTTGGTCTTGAAGAAACTGGGCCGTTCAGGTAGTCATAGTGGGTAAGAAATCAATAGATGTCCGAATAACAGGAAATAAGACCAAAACCTGCCATCGTCTGCTCACCTCTCCTCTGGCTAACTTCTAGTTCCTGAAACAGGAGCGCCAGGGCTTTTCTTTTTTCCAAAGAAATCAACTGACAAGGCTTCACTTAATACAGGAGACCACCGCAAATGTGAACTTGGTTTTTAAAATGTAAAAAGACTAAATAAGGCACTCAGTGTATTTCTCAAAGTACATACTGCTACAGCGTTTCTAAGGGAAAATGTCCATTTGAAGAACATTATTGATCATAAGAGTCATTATCATCATCCATTTGTTGAGCTCAGAACAGACCCAGTTTGCAACAGTCTGGATGCTTCCAGAATAATGCTGCTGTGAATCAAGTTAAATCCTCATTACTGCTGAGTCTGTTTGTTGGGTTTATTTTTATATGTTTTATTATTATGTTTTTTCATGAAGTTATCCTGACATTACAAAGTGAAATGTTTTTTTTTCCTGACAAAGTTCTACACATATATATGTATTTGTTAATATTCCTTTTATTCTGAGAAAGTTTCTGCGGTTCTTTTTGGGGGGGGGGGGGGGGGGGGGGGGGGGTTCAAGTCTCCCAAAACCTACTACAAAAGTGTGATAATGTTTATAATGCATGTGTTGTATAATCAGTCCCTCCTTTTGTGTTCATTTGTATTTCCAGGCAGCAGAAAGCTTACCTGGCTACGCAGGGGCCCCTGGCTGAGACCACCGAGGATTTCTGGAGGATGCTGTGGGAGCACAACTCCACCATTGTCGTCATGCTCACCAAGCTACGAGAGATGGGCCGGGTAATACAGAAATCGCATGCCGAACACAACAGATGCAGCACCTGTAAGGTCATTGAAGCGTTTCAGGAGACGATAATAATCTTTAGACGTCGGCTCGGTTCAGCTGAGCTGTTGCGCCGCTCTGCTCAAATATTAATTCATTCCAAACCCGAACAATAACTGCAGCTGAAAGTTTACCTCCTTATCGGTGTGGCTGGAGTGCAGCTGGGTTCAAACTGGGATGCCTCCGTGTCAGATTTGTCAATAAGTGGGAGCATTCCAGGCATGCTGATAACTCCCACACCATCTAAATATATCCGGCTTTGTATGAAACGGGTTGTGTTGGAGTTTTTTTCTCTCCTTTAGCTTTCATTGCTCCCACCTTCACTGTGTTGACCGAAGTCTGTGGGTAATGTTACAAAATATGGCGAGAGAGACAGGCGATATTAGATTGTGAAGCATTAGAATGTTGGGAACCGTTTCCACCAGGACCATTTTAGAGGTGACAAACACTAAGCCTGATCACTTGTTCATGATTATTACCTTTGTTCTGTTTAATGTGATTTACACCACAGACATCATATGTGTATTCACCCCGCGCTAGTGCTGCCTATTGGAGCTGGTGTAGCAGCAGGCAGCCATCTTGGATGGGTCCCCAGTTGCCCCCAGTGCATGTATTTCTAATGTGTGGGTGTTCACCCAACTAAAAAAAAACACAATTTTTTATGCTTTTTCACAAAAAACAATCCCAACAGGTAGGCTAGAAAAGTCAATAGTAATCCCACGTGATCTGTTTTCAATATGGTAAAAGGTAAATGTTCTGTATTTGTATAGTGCCTTCTTAGGGTTCTACAACCCCCAAAGGTGCTTCACAACACAGTCATTCACCCGTTCACACACACACAATCACACACCGGTCATGTTGACCTACAGTGTAGCCACTTCTGCCCTGGGGTGCACTGACGGAAGCGAGACTGCCGAGCAATGGCGCCACCGGTCCCTCAGTCCGCCATCAGCTGGCAAGGCGGGTTAAGTGTCTTGCCCAAGGACTCAACAGCAGCATTCTCTGGTGGGAGCCAGGATCGAACCTACAACCAGCTCTACCTCCTGAGCTACTGCTGCGTCGGTTGTTGCAACTGTAGACTGCACAAAAAGGCATAGTTTCTCACTCTGCACTGACCCATCCAATATGGCCGCTGTTATGCTCTCCAGTACCCAATGGGTGTACATGATTATGAAAATATGTATTCATGTCTATGATTTACACCACATCAAGTCGTGTGTTCATATGTTAGCATTACTAGCACGTTAGCATAAGGCAGCTAAAGCCACGTCTGTATGGTTTAGCTTTGCCTTGTGTTGCTGTAAAAGGAATAATTGGTGTTCTTATGAGAAATGCTGCATTGTTTATGCTTATTCAAATCATTTTTCACACTAAGCTGTTTTGTGCAGGGGGAATAATTGTTCAGTAGCATAATATAATAATTTATAGTGTTAACTGAAAATGTTCGCTGTCGGGCTAAATGATTTTTTATCATTTTCAAGTTTTTTCACAAATTGACTCTACGGGTCACCCTCCACATCTGTTTTTGGTTTCATGAATGAATATCCACCGAAGAGCACCAGAAGGAGCTCATTATTATTGGCCGCCAAACGTTTCTTTTTTTCCATTTCGAGAGCAACTACATTTTTGGAGTTACAAGGTTTCTGGTTGACAGAAACAAAATCAAGATTTAAATTATGAGCAATAATCAAATGTGGTCTCTTCTTACCTGTCTTTCTTTTTTCCTCCATTTTCATATTTCGTTTCACTGGGCAAGTAGATTTTCCTCCCAAAACCTCAAACTTCTCAGTTAGGAAACTATGTGTCGCCTCGTTCCTCTCATCTGGTTTTTCTAGTGCCTGTTGATGGTTCTGACATTACTCAGCTGTAATTTCAAGCTTTTATCACCTCCTCAGCTACAGTTGATTATGAAAAGAATCCTTCTGCGTAGTTACGAACACAAGAAAATGATGTAAATATTTTGTCACCTAAGATGAATCTGTGGTTTTAAACCACAGATTAGTCTAGTGGGATTCTCCTTTGTGAGCAGAGACATTTTTCTAACTGAAAATGATTTACAACTTACAGTAACCAACCTAGAACCAGAAATAAATCCAGTATTTGCATGCCAGGCAGTAATTACGTAGAAAAAAGTTCTTCTTCCCGGATGTGTTTGGAAAGATTTTTAGCTGAAAATGTCTCTCCTTTCACTCTTGCAGGAGAAGTGCCATCAGTACTGGCCAGCAGAGCGTTCAGCCAGGTACCAGTACTTTGTGGTGGATCCAATGGCTGAGTACAACATGCCTCAGTACATCCTCAGAGAGTTCAAAGTCACAGATGCCAGGGTACGTCGATCCGTTCAGTGTGAGAGTGTTTGTGTGCTCTTAAACACCGTTAAATAAAATGTGTGTGTCAGTGGAAGGACATTTAGAGCCATCTACTCTAAATATCCATCCTAAATCCATCTGAATTTTAGGTTTTATTGAAATACTGGCGGCCGTGCTGTTAAAATTAGAGCAACTGTGATTCGTAGATAGAGGTGATCAGAACCTGCCTGTGTCATTAGTCTGACATCCTCACAATACATCAAACTGTGTGTGTGTGTGTGTGTGTGTGTGTGTGTGTGTGTGTGTGTGTGTGTGTGTGTGTGTGTGTGTGTGTGTGTGTGTGTGCGCTTGTGGATGTGTGTGATAGGAGATTGCTGTGAAAGTACATGAAAAGCATAGCCTTCAGTCCCCGAGGGGCCGGTACTGGAACTCCCTGTGATGCAGTAGTTTCAATGAGCTATAAATATCCTTCAGTGTCATCTGAAGGCCCCCACCACTGCAACACTCTAATCCCACATCCACTCTTTCTTTTATGTGTGTGTGTTCTGCTCTGCAGTTCCTGCATCTAAATGCATGTTTTTGCTTCATAAAATTGTTTTTATGGCCGTACGCACGGACAGCAGCTTAAACGGAAACAGGAGTGAAAGATCTCTTGGTGGGCCACTCAGTTTGTATAAATATTCAACAAATCAGACTTATTTAGGCTGCTAGGTTTTGAAATACAGTCCAAGTGTTTGTGTAAATTCAATTTGTGCATTCTGACTGTAGCTTTCTGTCATTTGGGGTTTGACAAAATCTCCAGCCCTGATGGGTTTTGTCTCCAATCCAGGCTGTCAGCTTTACTCATATCACATCCCAGGTGGAAATTAGATGATTAACTGGTCCAGCCGGGTTAGTTACAGTCCTAAACCTGAGCCCAGAATTTTCTGCTGTGTGGAAAAAGATCAGAGAAGCTCAAACTGTAAAAATACAGCCGAGCGTTATCGGCTCGTGGACTTGAACGTATTGAAAATCCTTATCTGTGTCCCTCAGGATGGACAATCCAGAACAATCCGCCAGTTCCAGTTTACTGACTGGCCTGAGCAGGGAGTGCCAAAAACTGGAGAGGGCTTCATCGATTTCATTGGACAAGTGCACAAAACTAAGGAGCAGTTTGGGCAGGATGGACCAATCACTGTACACTGCAGGTAATTGGGACGTTTACACAGATAAGAGATACTAAGATGTGCTCTTTGGGGTTTAATCACAAAAATAAAGCACAGATTTACAAAATAAAATAAATACTTTTTTTTAAAGATGGTATAGCACTTTAGAAATAAAAGTAGCATAAATATGACCAACAAGAGAAAATTGATACAATCTGAAAGTAGCAGAGTTGCAATGAAATCTATAGAAAGCAGATTAGATACAGTTTGATTCAGAGGAAGCATTCAGTGAGATTATTGAGCAAGGACTAAATTATTGTGTCTGCGTGGGAAAAGGACGCAAAGAAAAAAAGAGCAGCAGGAACAGGGCTAAATCATGACACTACAAATCTTTTTTAATATTAATGTAGAAACTCAGATTTTTCTCTTATAGGTCTATTATCTATAAAACGGTCCTTTAGTCTTCTTCATGAGCTTCTTTAATACTGCCTAATATTTTATTTCCATGGTGAACTGTTTCTGTTTCACCTGCAGAGTTTCACCTGAATAGTTCAGTAACACAAAAGTAATCATGTTTTAATGAATGAAGTTACTTTCAGGCTCCAGTCAGAGATTCCATTCTGCAGGATGTAATAATAACGTTGTGCATGCGTGCATGCGTGTGTGTGTGTGTGTGTGTGTTTCACAGTGCCGGGGTAGGCAGGACTGGAGTCTTTATCACACTTAGCATCGTGCTGGAGAGGATGAGGTATGAAGGTGTGGTTGACATCTTCCAGACGGTGAAGACGCTCCGCACCCAGCGGCCTGCCATGGTGCAGACTGAGGTACAGAGTCTACGTTACGCAGTTTGAAAGTTAATGTTTGCAAATGTAAACCAAAGAATCCTATTGGAGGACTCAGTTCCTCTAAAAAAAACAAAAAGGTATTCATTCATTCACCCTTTGCCCTCGTCTCTGCAGGACCAGTATCAGCTGTGCTACAGGGCAGCTCTGGAGTACCTGGGGAGCTTTGACCACTATGCAACGTAACCACTCCCACTGAAGCAGCTTCCCTGGTCGGTCAGACCTCTCAGGAGTGTGCCAAGTGTCCCATTTCAGCCGCCATCCGCTCACTTGCCCCTGCCCCCAAACAAACAAACAAACTCATACAACCCGCCACTCGCAGCTACAGGCGGGCTGGAGGAAGGGACAAACCTGCAGACCCGTCGAGGGTTTCAACCAATCACACCAAGCTAATCAACCACCTGAGATTTCGCTTTAAAGAAAATGCCAGAAACATTACAGAGACTACGACAACCCTGACAGCTGTTGTACAGATCCGGCAGCGCAGACCGGCAGCCCGCCGCTCTGCTCTGTCGAAGCCAAACCTCCCTGATTGTCAAAGGCTACTGGTAGCACTAAGAGAGCATCCTCTCTGTCTTTTTGTTAATTATATTGTCAATATTCTGATTCTTTATGTTAAAAGTTTAGTATAAGTTTGTAATAATCATTTTAATATCAGACATTTCTTTTGTCTTAAAACTGCCCAGATTGAGGCGTACATTATTTTCATAATCACTTTTAGGGTATGTTAGCACACGGGACATGTGTTTTCTGCATGTCCCTAGAGACTAATACAGGAGGACTACTGTCCTCTGAGCTGCTGTCAGATTTATTTTATCTCATGGTGTTTTTTTTTTATTATTCATTTTTATGTTATAAATATTGTTTTATGGTCGTAGTCAGTTCAATAACTCAAATTGCCTTTTTCACTTGCCGTTACAGAATTCTCAAAGAAAATCAGCTTTGAGGAAATTGATTTTTGAACATGGACTTGTTGTAGTTGTCCCTTTGTAATCGCAGTAGATAGCTGAAAACACGCGACTTACCTAACAACAGGTGCACAGAAATGGGATACACATTATTTCTACGTGTTTTGTTGTTTTGCTTTTCATCTGGAGCCTGTGGCATTGAGGCCTTCATACTCCACAGAGGAGAACTTAAAAAAACAGACTTTTATACCCAAAGGGTAGGCAACAAGAAATGAAAAGAAAAAAAATTGAATAGAAACTCACAATCTGATTTAAAGATGCTCTTCAAGTCCCTCCCATCTCAGCGCTCGCCATGAGCCTGGTCGGGGTGCTGGAGTGGAACCAAGCGGACATGGGCTGAGGAGTAGAGCCATCAACGTCAGTACTTGTACAGACTCAACCATTCCTACCAGAGGGACAGAGACTCAGCCCTTTGGACTCAAACCTGATATTATTTTATACAGAAATAGAACTATAAATATATATATAATTATGACTGATTATATGATTACACATAGTTATATTCACAGCTTCAAAAATATATTGTTAAAAGGAATGAATCTGGTGATCTGACTAGAGACACTGCAGAAAGCCTGCTGTCCTAGAGTGTGTATTAATGGAGACACCATTGTATCTACTGTAACACCATAGTAACTTCAACAGCTGGTTGTGAGGAAAAACAGCACAATCACCCCCCCCCCCCCCCCCCCCCCCCCCCTTTCCTCCTCCTCCTCTCACCACAACCTCATCCATCAAAAGGGACAACCTTTCACTGGCTAAGCACACACACTTACCTCCCACTACACGGACGGCAGGAGAAGAGCGTCTGGTCCGACCGTCCAAGGCCCGAGAGCTTCAACGCAGTGGGAGGGGGTGAAAAACGACAAGGGGGGGACTTGAAAATGCTGGCAAAAACGAAACATGTTCATTTTTACCTTGTGAATGCTTAGTGCCGTAGGGGTTCGGTCTGTTGTACACACAGTCTGTTTTCTATTTGTTGATGAAGATCTGCAACTTCAAAATCACCTGAACGTTCATGTTAATAAAGTTAAATAATTGGGTTTTGTACGTATGTCTGGCTTGTGATTCTTTGTTAGTCGTGTTTTTTTGTTGTTTTTTTCACAACAGCCATTCGTGTATTACCTGAGTAAATACAAAATGTAGTTTTGAAATGATTTAATGAATAAAAGGAGAACTAGTAGGACTTCAACAAAAAGATATAACGGTCGATACAAAATGTGTTCTTTGCTGTACGTGAGAGGGATTTTATGCAATCTCAGCAGATTTATTCTTAGCAGTTTCAGTATCTTCCAGAGAGAGTAATTTCTGGGTTCTGTCATGTTAAGAAAAATATGTTGTTGCTGGCCACGCCCACTCATCCCTGGCTCAGGCAGCTATGAGCTAAGAAGCTCCAACATCATCAACGTCCAAGATCATTCTGTTTTTGACTTTGTTTGATTTTGTTTTGATCTATGTGAAGCACTTTGTGATTCTGTGTCTGTGGTGAATGCTTTATAAATAAAATGTACTTACTTGCAACATCCAGGGGCTCGGAGTAGAGCCACTGCTCCTCCATCCTGGAGAGTTGAGAGGGGTTTCAATGGAGAGCCTAATGCCGGGCGTACACTGTGCGACTTTTTCACTTTTTTGAGCCGATTTTCCAGTCGTGCGAGAATCCACGACATCTGGGCGAGTTTTGCGCCGAGCGGTCGTGTAGTGTACAGGGGGTTACGAGAGGCGATTAACACCACGTGACCAGCTGCCGATCAGCAGTCGTGAGGTGGCATGGACTTCTGGCGTGTTTAATATTTCGCTCGTCCCTCGTGAGGGTATCGCACTGTTGAAGTGGCGCTGCGAGCAGCTACGACCCAAAAAGTATCAGAACCGCGCATGCGCAATCCTGCATCAACACCGCTCACCCGCTATTTCCCTAATAACACACGTTGTTCGTTTTTGTTTCTACACATTTTTTTTACAAAGATTGTCAAGAAAGCGTGTTTGTCGTGTTCATGTCAAATTAAACTGATCACAAAACACAGATTCACTTTCTTTATTTTTGTTTTCCTCATCCAACCCCCATAAATCCCTGTGTGTCCCCCTGCAGCATTCCCGAAGGACAACAGGCAAAACAAGACAAAAAAGTCTGACGTGTTGAGTAAAAACTGCTATTTTTAGCATATTTTTAGGGCCGACGTGTTGCTACCAGACGTACAGTATGAGCAGTCAGGTCGCACCCGAGAACTGGGTTGTGCAGTGTGAGCGCCTGGCTCGTGAGATCTGCCCTGCGAGGAAATCGTACAGTTTGAGCTGAAGCTGAGTGCTACGAGTGAAAAAGTCGCACAGTGTACGCCCGGCTTAAGCCAGACCCATCTACTTCCAGACCATCGGTCCCCAACTGCCAAAAAAAAAGAATGAAGTCTATGAGAGGATAAAAGCCCAATTTCTAATCCCGTTTGTTATGTGCCATGGATTTCACGTTGTCTGTGACTTTTAAAGACACTTTCTAATGCCAAGAAAGCGCTTATTTTCAGACTGCTGCAAAAGTTATTTTAGGTTTTGTGTGAAAAGACATGTATATGACTACAAATGTTTGTCTCATCAAATAAGAAGATTAGTTTAGCAAGCTTTGAATCCTTCTTTTTATAGCTCCATTGACTCACATTCATTTGTTTCTTTGTTCTGGGGACCTATAAGCCAACCGAAAGGGGAGGAGATGCTAATTTTCCCTAGTATGACCAGCTAGTCCCATCCTTCCTTATAGTAAGCAATGGGTCTGGGGACTCTCCTATTCAAACAACCCCACCCCCTGAAAATTCTAACCGAGCCAATCAGCGCTGAGCAGCGCACATCACACACAACGCTGCGACTCTTTCCCCTGTTCTAAAGGACGTGAACATGTGTTTAAAACCAAAACAAGAAGAAGTGCCAAAAATCTTTCTTCTAAAAAAAGATGCTTGTGCCGTCACCATATGCCATTTTTGACTACAGCTAAAAAAACACAGCGTCGCACGGTAAAGTCGGCATTTCTGCCCTTTTTCTGATTGATTACTTTTCAGCTGCCTAGTCCCGCTGCTCATGTGCATCTGCCTGTGAGTAATCAGACTAGTTATCTGTGTAGAATTGAACAGAGGACGAGTCTGGCAGGCCAGGCAAAATTTTCCCATTTGTGACCTCACAATTGGGGACTTTTTGAAAGAGCTTGTTTTAGACATTTAATTTCTAAACAGCAAAAGAGCTGAGCCGGAAGGTGAAGCTCTTGATATACTGGTCGATCTATGTTCAGAATCAGAAGGGTTTTATGTGCGAGAAATCACAACATAAGGAAATTGCTGCGGTACTTGGTGCAAAAAGTTAGATAAAAATAAGAGATGAGAAGTTCACCTATGGTCACGAGCTTTGGGTTGTAACTGAAAGAATGAGATGGCAGATACAAGTGGCCAAAATGAGTTTTCTTCACAGGGTGTCTGTGCTCTCCCTTTGAGATAGGGTGAGAAGCTTGTTCGTCCAAGAGGGGCTCGGAGTAGACCCGCTGCTCCTCCACATTGAGAGGAGCCAGCTGAGGTAGCTCGGTCATCTAGTTAGGATGCCTATGGACGCCTATCAGGTGAGGTTTTCCGGGCATGTCCAACTGGGAGGAGACATAAAGGAAGACCCAGGACACGCTGGAGGGACTATGTCTCTCAGCTAGCCGGGGAACACCTTGGGATTCCCCCGGAGGAGCTGGCCCAAGTGGCTGAGGAGAGGGAAGTCTGGACCTCTCGGCTTAGGCTGCTGCCCCCACGACCCGACTCCAGATAAGTGGAAGAAAATGGATGGATGGAATTCCCTAATCAAATGGACAGATTAGGAATGCTTATGGAGGTAATAGATCCGCACATGTCTGCACAAAAGAATGAAAGTGGTGAGTTTTGCATATTTCCCAGTAAATAAAATGAACCAAACCAATCTGACAATATTTTTTAAAAAATAAAAAAAAAAACTTTTTGAATCAGAAATCAAAGGGGAACTAGGTGGTTTAGTCTTGCTTTTAGCACCCCCTAGTGTCTGTAGAACCAAAACATGTCCTCTCTGTGCGTTCATCTTTTTAACACCTTAATCTAACAGCTGAAACGTATCCCAACGTTACTAAGCGTCTACAGGAGTGGTTCATTACTAAATTAAACAAATCAGCTGTGTGCTTGATCTAAAACATGTAGGAGACATGCTGAAGCCAGACCGCAGCGCCAGGTATGTCTGCTCAGTTTTTCTAAATCCCAACAGTCTGAAGTTGCAAGTGGGATATTCTGGCCATAGGTCCAGGGGCTATAGGGGCAGGGTGGCCTTTCATTAACCCAGTGAAGGGTCATTTTAGCACATACTGGCTCAAGAAAATCATTTCAGAATAAGAAAAAGTTGTAATTTTACTACATTTCACAGGCTGTTCTTGTTGGAAAACCCTCCCATGTGGTTGAATTAAAACAGTTCTGCACAGAAGAGTTGATCAAAATTCCTCCACAGCGATTAAAGTCATTACTAGTTATCTCAAGTTCTTTTTTGTCATTTTACTTCCAAAGAGTATCACTTTTTCACTGAGTGTAAATTGGTTTGGATGGGTAATCTCCCCCACCCCCCAAATCAATGAAATTATCATTTGAAACCTCTATGTTGTATTTACTTGGGTTCTTCTCTGGTTCTGGAATGTGTTTGCTAAAAGGGACATTTAAAAATGACAAAGTAACAAAAACTGTAAGGAGACAAACACTTTTTCACAGCACTGTACATCATCTATTTCTGCATTTAGCTCCACAAAAGTGAAATTAGCCTTTTTATTTCCCACTGAAGATGTCACTCGTTCGCCCTGAAGCAGCTTCAGTTTGCTGTCTCCAAGAGCTGCTTCTCATTGTGTGTTGTGGTCTAGGATGGGATTCGAAGATGCTCACTCCATCCTATTTCTCAGAAAGATGTCACCATCCCAAACAGTTTCCCTCTGCCTGAACCAATCCTCATGTTATCCTCTTATCTCTATTAAGGTAGCGTGACTCGGGTTGCGAATGACCACAGTCACCAATTCTTGTCATGTGTCTTGCCCACGTATGTCTGATCTCTGAATTGTGTGTACTGAAACTCTAATTTCCCTATGGGATTAATAAAGGATTGATTGATTGATTGATTGATTGATTGATTGATTGATTGATTGATTGATTGATTGATTGATTGATTGATTGATTGATTGATTGATTGATTGATTGATTAGATGAATACGCTATTGTTGCCAAGTAAACAAAATCATCTCAACTCAAACCCTGTTAGCAACTTTATTTTTTCCTGAAGCTTTCAGCCACATCTCGCTGTCTGCTGCAGCAGAGCAGTTTGCTCGGTTGTCATGGTGATGTGTTAGTCATTTCTCCGAGAAAACAGTATGTCTGGTGTAATTTCACATTAGAGACAGCATAATTTGTGTTTAAGTCTTTTCTCTCATCACCAGTCTGGAGTGACCTGGGCTCTCCTTGGGGAAATGGGATGTTAGTCATCTGTGCACAGAATAAGAAATGGATGAAAATGTTTGACATATTTGCTTTCCGGAACTGCGCTACTCTGGGTGGCTTCATGTTGGAGTAGCTCTGTTGACTATATGCAAGTTTTGCCTTTTCTTGGACATTTTTTCTTCTAGTTTTTCAAGAAAAACTGTATTTTTTTGGACATTTTACTTTTCTGTTTCTGGTGCTGTGATGCTTGGAGGATTTTTACTGCTCTTTTTTCACTTTTTGAGCATTTGTTATGATGCGTAACCATGACAACAAGCTGGTTTACAATTGGGAGCAGCTGATTAACATTGGAAAGGCTGAAATAATACCTCAACTGAAGCCACAAATCCCAAATGAGCTAAAATGCAAGAGGCGTGGGTGCAGAGCGGGAGCAAAACGGAGAAAGAAAAAGAGGAAATTCAAACCTTCTCTTCCATCCATCATAATGGGCAATGTGAGATCACTGGCCAACAAGATGGATGAACTCCAAGCCCTTCCAAGGACTCAGTCAGAGTACTGGCAGTGCAGTGTTATGTGTTTCACTGAGACATGGCCGCAGGACCA